TGTTATAAGCCATGTATGATGTTTCATGTTTCTTATGGAAAACAATTTTAATTATAAACTTTTATGCTCCTGTACCCAACCGTGGGGGACCATCACACTAAACAACAGGTGCCACTATTACTAAGAAAAATGTACTTTTTTTTCATTAAAATTACTGATATATATATATATAAGAATTAAATGGGTAGTTAACCAAACAACATAATACTTCAAGTTCCTCAAAAAAGAGCTCCACAAATTTGAGAGAAAGCAATTTACATATGTATATAATTATAGTAACGGAAATTAGAATGTTACAAATACAAATAAAGTGAAGATATTGCTAAAACATAAAAATATAAAAATCGTTATTTTAGTCGTTAAAAGTAGCATGACACTTTTTGTCCATTTTATGATCAACAGGTTGTATATCACCCACATAAGCTGCCCACATTTTAAAATTGTATACAATATAAGAAAATTTGAGCATTTGGTAGAAAAACACAAAAATGAATATTTTTCAGTTCTGTTGCCATGGCAACTATTTTTATATGCATGTTTGGCACCGGTACGTGGATGCTACCATGTTCTAAACGTTCAGCCAATTTGAAGTTCAACTTTTGAGATTATAGGTGAAATCATTTCCTCAATTTCTAACAGTGGATATGATGTCATACTTTACCCATGATCCCTTGCTGAATAATCAAGATGGTGAACTATAAAAATTAATTTAAAGTTGAATATCTAAAGAATAAAAAGTGATATGAAAAATCTGTAAACTGCATGTTCTTACATTTTTCGAGCTCTTCCACCTTTATGTTGTTAGCCTTGACTTTCCCTTTAAGTTGCATAGGGGACATACGCTGTTTATACCAACTTCCACGTCGGGACATGCTATCGATCTCTCGATAACCGTTTGGCCAAACCTCCCATAAACACTACAGTTCAAGTGGTTAGAGTCTAATGTAATTTTAGACTCTTTTTTACTGCTTTGTTTTATCAGCATGATTGTTTAGTGTGTACGGCAGCGACAAAGGGAGTATTCACTCCGAAGTCCTCGTAAAGTAAAGTAATTTATCGCAAACATTTGATATGTGTTCCCAGTTTGTTTTCACAAGTAAGCTTGTACAGCACTCTATTACAAAGATAATTAATATTACCATATAATAATATGTATTTTTTTTAAAATAACAATACCACTGGATCATTTTTATAATTGTTCAACACACTTAAAAAACACAACACATGAAAGCAAAATGATTGCGTTTGTTAAACAAAGATACAAACGTTGAAAATTAATTGTTTGGTGGAGTTGAATAAATCATTTGGTTGCATTTGATAAGCTCGTCTTCTAATGTATCATATGTTTTCTATATGTGTTCAGACTGGAGGATTTATTGTGTTTTATTATTTTAATTTGTAATCAGCAGTTTGTTTATATTTCGTTACATTCAAGTAAATGAAGTGTGAGGTCGAGGGACGTATCAGGAAAAGTTGAACTTCAAATGCCATTTCGGGCAAAAAGTAAAGAATCCCTACCAGCAAACTTTCTACTTTGATTTTCTACAATTAATTTTTTGTTCATTCAAAGCGAGTGCGATTCCATAGTATGACTTGGATTTAGCCAAAATAACCAAATACTATCTCGCTGTGGTTCCATAATATTACTTATCGCGATATCTACAGACAGCGAATGCTTGGAAAAGCTCACTTCCACCTCTGTCCATTCGTAGTGTATACATACAGCTGTGACAAGTGAGAATTATGCAAATCAGTCACTCAATATGCAACCCAATGAAAACATCATTAGGGGCAACAAATTTCGTGCAGGACGAGCGCCGTCAACGGCTAGTGTTTACCCAAATAATCAGCTACAAACAACATTCGCTGGTTCCCGGCGTCCTTTGCGAATGGCAGGTAGGACGCAGGCATTGACGCAGGTCGTTGTGTCGTCACCGGAACGCACAGACGATTTGAACTGACGATTCACATCTACGTCTCCTACCGCACGATCTACTTTTTCATTATTTTATCATTTTGAAAAGATTTTAGCACTGAATGTAAAAATATTTGACATATTTATTTTAAATAACACCCCTTTTTTCAACAGAAGCTTAGGATATCAGAAACAAATAAATTAAAAAAAAACGCGGAATACCAACAATTTTGGTGTAAAATGTCGCCTGTGGCAGAGTCTAGTTGCAGCTCTCTGTGGCCCCCTAGGTCAAGAAGACTCTGCAAGGGAGAGTGTTGAGGCGGGAACCAGCCAACAAACAACATGGCGGCTACTTGTGACGTACTCGATCAAAATACCACGTGACACAAAAACACGCAAATGATCTTTTGAAATACACTTTTAGCAATTATAGTAAATAAATCTCAATTCTTCGATAACTGATATTTATTTAAAAACTGGCGTCATATAATTGTCATCAGTTGTCGGTTATTTTTTTCTTGCTTTCTCCGCAGTTGGTGATTTTTCATCGTTTCCTTGAACAAGTACGGGTAGTTGCCGAAGATCAGTTTGGACAACATCTCAGCATCACCAGGGATTACGCATATAAATTCAAGGTACTGGCAGACCAACGAGGAAAAAAAGGTACTTGTAACTATAAATGTATACTTATGGGAGGGAACACACTATATGTAAGAGCGAAAAAAGATCGTTACCAACATAAATTGGGAGGATACAGATAAATGTAATGGCCTGCTTTGAACCTATAAACTTCAAACAATTGTTTGTTTCCATTTGTTTTTTTTGTTTTTTTATTTTTCAGATATTGACAAATTTTTCACGATTAGAGAAATTCTTGAGCGATTTAATTTTCCTATTAGAGTGCAACTTGCAAGAACGAAATCCGGGGCGGTTGTCAACGCAATGACTCTAACAGAATATCGAGAGCTGAAAGACTTTGGGGTCGTAACCCTTCTGAAGACCCATACTATCGGCTATTTGATTGGTCACTGCGTGCCTGGTGAGTATGGCGGGTGAAATTCCTTTCGTTTTCATTTTTGATGAAAAATAACATATGAATACATGCATTATCATACTAGTAGTTACCTTCTTCAGTAGTTTTCTTTTGACAAAGCGTCGTCTTATTTGTTACGTTCGCCATTCACACGAGAATTCTGAGAATTTACTAGCACCCTCTATCGACTAAGGCTTCTGTGGCGCAAATGATTGAAAGAAATGTCGTTCACGGCGTGAACTATATCAATTAAAAAATTATGTTTGTTTTTTTCAAAGGCGCAAAGGTGTGATATAAGTGTATTGCATTACGTGTTTTACATGGGGGGGGGTTATTATGTGTTGTTGATTGAACTTCTTAAATGTATTTCCCCCCACAATGCATCATTCCAAAACTTCCGTGATAACAGCACCCGTGATAACATAATCAGCAACTGTGATGTCATTATTAGCAATTGTGATGTCATAATTTAGCATGCAAATTATAATCAGCAACCATGATGTCATTATTAGCAACTATGATGTCATTATTAGCGGCCATGATGTCACAATTAGCAGTCATATGACGTCATATCCGTGTGTGTGTGTGTGTGTGTCGTAATTTGTTTTGTTATATTTTCAGAGTTCGACTTGATGGAATGCGGTGCATTGGCCGTGTTGCCACTGCCATTAGAAGTAGACTTGGTGGTGGGAACAATGCCGATAGACGGTAAAAACGACAAATGGTACACATTCCTGCGAAACTTCAGTAAGGAAATGGACGAATCGGTAGATTTTGATATGTTTATCAATAAGTTTAACGGTAAGTCTCGATTGGAGGGGGGGGGGTCGCGTTGATGGATACTAGTAGTTTGTGAAGCGTGTTAGTTTCTAAGCCACGGTGAACAACTTGATAAACAAAAACTAAATTCTTATTCCATAAACGAATTATTGTATTACCCTAACACTGCTCAAGTTCTGAGGGTATGATGTAACTGGTGAAATTAGTGTTAAATATTCTCGTTTGAAATGACGCGAATAGCGAGACGATCAAAACATCACTCATTGAGCACATAGCATGCAGTGTTCTTTGGTTTCCTAAAATAATGGAGCTACAGTTCTAATGGTAACATGAAACCACATTTTGGCGTAAGTCGCTACAGTAATTATGTTTTGAGAATAATGTTTTTTTAAGAAATTGCTCCGATAGACAATTTGTTAAAGACAAATGTATTTGTCACTTTTTAAAGACAAGATTTTTGCAATAATTCGATATAATAAAAAGACCCATATCACCAGCCTATTGTTTATTGCAAAACAGGGTCATATGCAAAAACATATTAATCTTTTATCGTTTTTTCCTGTTTTACAGATGTATATTTATTGCAGCCGGGAGAAATCCCACCTGACGAAAGTTTATATGACGTCATAAAACCTACTACCTGTAGTGAATACGCCGATTATAGAGCGATTCAACAGAGTAGTGGGAAGGGCAGTGGCAGCGGAATGAGTACGGATAGCAAAGCCCTCGACATAACTCCAGAAGCTCCAGAAGTATCGGCAAAAACTAATGCGTTTCTTAAGGAACTATTAGGCACACTCACCAACCCCGAAGACGACCTTCCGGTGGGTCCACCGCCTCCATTGCTGCCGCGATCACCAATAGACAGAAATCCACCAGAAATCGGAAAACGACCCCCCAAACCTCCCAAGAGACCGGGCAAATCGATCCCAGAAAACGTCAGTCAGAATAAGCCCCTCACGGTGAAATCTCATTTTCAGTATCCTTCCCCGGCCAAATTACAAAGCCTCAACGTCCAGGAGGTATGTCGCTGTCTGGAGGCATTGAATCTTGATCACTACTCGGATCATTTCAAATCTAATGACATTGACGGTGAAATGATGTGTGCACTGACGCATTCTATGCTCGTGAACGATATTAAGATGCGAGACCTGGATGCCATGAAATTAAAAAAGTTCATCGAAGGGTGGCGTCCTAACCTTGGTTAAAACGAGAGGGCGGTCTTTGATTTGCGTATAATTATCTGCCGTTTACTCTAACCATGCTCTAATCATTTAATAGCATATCACATTTTTTTATTCATATCACTGTTCTCAAATACAGTCATGAAAATAAAGAGATACGGCAAGATAAATATTAATCAAAATACCGGTAAACATGTACTTCGTGCGTGACTAAATCGACATTCGCGTATGACGTCATTTCATCCACGCCGCATCATACACAAATTTCAGCTAACAACTGATTTTTAATCCGTGTCGATATCGTGTTTTTCGTCACTGATTATCAGTCACCTCAAGTGCCAAATCCATATGATAAACAGCAAATGTTAATAAAGTATCCAAGGTGTTATTAATTGACTAAAGTACTGGCAAACCAAATTATGCTTTGGTATGTCTGTAACGCATGTACTAGTATTTTGGTTCATTTAGTCTTCGTTTTCGGACTTAGCGGCCTTTCTAAACCTAATATTACGTGTAAGAACGAAACAAAATCACGTTTTCCCCGCAAAGGGATGGTAGCTGTTCTCGCTCTGGACTCCCTCCCCGCGTGTACTACAACTATATGTTCAATCAATTTTTCAATTTTATGCATATGAATACCAAAGTGACAAAATAGAAACAATCATCGGATTTTTAAAATGCGAACGCAAATAGCAGAAAAGTTTGACGTTGAACATTTTAAAAATTTGCAGTCTCTGCAGTTAGCCTGATGAGTCGCGCGATTTGCGCCCTTCGCGGTGCTCCAAACCCAAGTGGGTCTGATGACGTTCGGCCGGCGAGGGCGCCACTCACGCCTACATATCAGGCTAACTGAGATATTTGTTTACGGAAACGTTTCGAGGAATATCATCAGACTGCGCGTGTCTGTATAGGCATGCTATCTTCCCTTTGTTTTAATATATGTTTTAGTATTAGTCAACAATATGTGAACTCTTTTAGTTCACTGTCAATGTGTAGGTATAAATTCCAAGATTAGCAGCTGTTTTCGTAGACCACAATATTAACACATTCCTTCGTTTTATACTTGTAAGCATCAAAAAATACATTGTAAGAACTGTTATAAGTATGTTTTTTTTTTTCTCACCACATGTAACTAAGGAAACAGCAATGCCAAAATGGCCTAAACAAACGAAACATGCTATTGTCACTGTATTCTATTCGATTTTATCCGATTGACTCTGATTCATTTTTTTATCCCTGTACATGATATATCAAATATGTAAAACAGAGAAAATGACAATATTTGTATATAGCGTTCTACTTTAATTCATAACGGTTATATCGTTTTTAGATCACGAAGGGTGGCGTCCTAACCTGGCGTCCGAGGATCACGGTATTAGCGTCACGCTGCCATACACATGTTCTATGTGTGGTGCCCTCAAGCGACGACCTACTGTGACGTCAAAATGTCGGCTGTAAGTATCGTTCAAAGCGTGTTTTGTTGTGAGTCGTTCGTTGTTAAAAATCCCGGGAGTACAAGGGTAATACGTCTCCAAAAATCTTACAGGTTAAAACCATTTTACGTCACTGAAGCTCTTTGCCGCTAGAGGGCGTGACTAATAGAAAAGGTGTCGAGACATAGGAGTGTGTTTTTTTTATTTACGAGGAAACTTATTTTTGGTATTTTTAACTCATGTAATAACACTGTTTCTTTATTATTTTTAAACTATACACACATTTATGTATTTTTACACTTTGGTTTGAAGTGTTTTGATCGCCAATAAATGTAGTTTATGTTAAACAAGTGATTCGTGTGTTTTCAGGTTCAAATTGTTCCGCTGAAATCCTAACTCAAGTTTAAATGTGGCCGACCGAACCCAACCATGTATTGATTTTCTCTTTAACTTCGAGATCTCGCGTATTGTGTGAAAGAAGCAGACCGAACGTCTCAATCTCCCCAGTTCTATTACGATATACTTTCGGTGATCTAACCGCAAGGAACTCTGGGAAGGAGAATGCGAACGTCTGCCACAAAAATCGAACGATTTGCTTTAGAACTCGAATTTCGTTTTCAATAGCTCAAATTCGAAAGGCCGACAGGGAAATATTGCGTTCAGATACCCTTATTCATTGAAATTGACTCGGACCATCATCAGTACAGCACATTATTAAGCATGGAAATATCCCCCAAAATACTTTTGCGTTTGTCGAATCCCATGCGATGTTTGACGCTACGAGGCCACCGCCTTTGTTTGTGCTGTTTTTACGTTCGATTTCACGCATAACGCAGGATCTCGCAGCGAACAGAAAATGTCTTCTGTCAATCTCCCCAGGCAGAGTTCTATTACGAATATATCTCTGCCACCACGCCAGGGGGGGGGGGGGGAGTTGCATGACACGATTGGTTGAAATACTCGTCTCATTTGCATAAATTAATATTCATGAGCAATGAAAAACTCGTCTTTTCAGTAAAATTGTGCCAAAATGCTTTCCGATAGCATACATGTTAGTTCTAAATTGATTGATTCTATCGTTACGAGCTGAAAAA